CCCCCCGGCGGGAATCGGAGATTCGGGGCCCCGTGCGGATATCGGAGGCCCGGGGTCCCCGCGCGTGACCTGACCCGCAGTGTAGACCTGCGGGGGATGAGAGCCTGGGCGAAAAGAGCCTTTGTCCACTTCTCGAGAGGGTGGGCCTTATTCCCCCACCGCGCCCTCCCATCGGCGGTTTGGAAAACGCGGAGCAACGGATTTCCGCGCAGCAGGAGCTGAGCGGCGCGCGCCCACGCTGCGCATGCTCAGTGCGGCCGCTCCGTCAGGCTCGCGGCTCCGCAGCGGCAAGCTCCCCGCCGCCCCTAATGGCGGACCCCGAGACCCTCGGGGGCCCCGTCCTGAAAGGTGAGCGGGTGCGGGTCGAGCCGGCTTAAGGATGGGTACCGGGGTCGGGAGGCGCTGGGACCGGGCTCGCGGGACGCGGGGGACGCGCGGGGCCCGCAACCCGGCCCTCCCGGAAGTCGGCCCGGGGGCTGGGGGGCTGTCCCCGGCCTCGGCGCGTGGACCACCCGTGTGGGGTGGAGTGTGTCTCCGAGCCCAGTGCCGGAGTCGCCCCACGTGGGTTCGGTCCGGTGGGGCCGGCTGTGCGGACGCGCGGCGGGGTGGGAGACGTGGGTGGATTTGATTTTCAGCGTTTTCTGGGTTCTGTCGTCTTTGGCCAGGTGGGTTTGGGGGGGAGGGCAGTAGTGATATCGGGGGAAGAAAGGGTAGCGCCTCTCGTGTGCATCTGTCAGTGTTGGCGTCTCGGCCGCTGAGTGAGCAATCACCGCACACCTGGAGAGCATCAGGGTCGGAGCGGCGCGAGTCAACTACGCTCCCTGCCCCTTGGATCCTGCCTGCTGCTCGTTTTATGTAGGGCCTGCCAGTGAAGAACGCTTTTTGCCTTTTTTACATGGCTGGGGGCGGGGGAACAGAAGACGGGAGGACAGATGAAAATTATATCAAACCCATAAAGTTTTGTTAGAACACAGCTATGCTTGCCCATTAATGTGTTGTCTTTGGCTGCTTTTGTGCGACAGCCGTGAAGTTGAGTGGCTATATGGCCCTCAGAGCCTCAGCTGTTTGCTCTCTGGTTCTTTACAGAAAACAGGCTCTTGCACTAGAAGTTGTTAGGCTTTGGTTTTAGGAATTTGGGAAGACCATCCAGTTGAGAATGTAAACGGTGACGTGTGTATGAGTAAAGTTGTTTTCCCCTTGAAATTTAAAAAACTCTAATAGCACTAATATTATTTTGAATAGGCTTTTAACAGAAGAAATGTAAAACTTACATTTGAATGTAAATAGAACAAGAGAAGAATCTGTCGAAATCCTTGGGCGAGGTATGCTGGAATATCAGATATATTTCACACTAGTATCTGTTTATTTTCAGATGTTGTGGCCTATGTAGAAGTGTGGTCAGCCAGTGGAACAGAAAATTATTCCAAGACATTTACAAATCAACTTGCGGACATGGGGGCAAAGGTAGGAAATTCATTTTACCACTGCCGCATCTGACAGCCCTCTGAAACATACGGAGATCTACTTGCATTTTCTTATTTTGAGAGTTTTGACTTAGAACACGAAGGACAAAGAAGACAGTGGGTAAATGGCAGGAGGAAGAAGAAAGCCATGGTATGAAGAATTGAGAACAGTTGGGCTTGTACGTGATGGGAGAGGAGAGCTTGAGGATAAAAATATTGGTCCTGCCATTGGCTGCATGATGCTGTTGATGAAAGCGCAGGATACAGGAAAAGGAACTGTTCTTTAACGGAAACGTTGTGGATTTGGGGTATACTGGAAGTATCTGATAGACATTTGGATGTACAGATCTGGAGCTTGAGATTTTCAGGGCTAGAGATAGTGGTTTAGGCGTCAAGGCCTTAAGGGTCAGGTGAAGCCACTGGTGTGGTGACGACCCAGGTGGTTAGCATGAAAAGTGCTGCAGATGGAGCCTATTTAGTATTTCAAGGGCTGGCGGTGGGAGCCATGGATGGAGCCATGGTGGAGAAGGGTGCCAGGAGAACCCAGAAAACGAGCCTGGGAGTTGGAGGAGGGACGGGCTTCAAAGATGGAATTTTAAAACACTATAGAATCTTAAGAAAAGTTAAGATTGGGAAGTATTCAGGCTTGAGAACTGTAAGGTCAGTGTTGGGTGTATCGCAGTTTTCAGGGAACTGGGTGAAGCGGGTGGAAATTAGCCCAGGAATCATGGAGACCCGAGGAATGGAGATGGTGATGGCAGACGCTCTTTGAGTGAGTTCAGCTGTGAACAGAGTTTATTTGTGTGTGTGTGGATGTTGGGATTTGGGGGAGGGTGGCTGATAGGCTGGCGAACGGAGAGATTAATATGGTAGCAGGGCAGGGATTAGGGTGAAGCAAGGACATAAGGGAAACTGCAAGGCGGCATTCACTGTCAGGCAGAGCGTGTGTGCTCCCGAATTTCCTTTCACTCACCCTGGTCCCTGCCCTGACGAGACCGGATGTAAAGGCCAAAAGCAGATTAGGGTGGAGTACAGACAATGCAGGGCGGGGCTTGCTTGTGAACCTGAGAAGACACCTTTTTTCTGACACTGGAAGGTAGGAATCCGGGAGAGTTTCCACCTGATGATACGGACCGCAGACTTAGGCTACACGTGTTACTGTGGCTGAGAAAAAAGCCATGGAACACAGGAATTGGCAAAATGGTTTTTGAGAGTAGTATTAAGGTCTTAGATCTCTTGAATCTTTTTTTTTTCGCCTTTATTTAGAAAATTTTCAAATAGAAAAATTTAAAAAATAGTGCAGTGAACATAGATCCAGCAATTAACATCTTTACATACTTGCTTTGACTCTGTCTTTCTAAACAGTGTATTTATATGTGTATTTTTTTCCTCAGCTATTTGGAAGTAGGTTGCAGGTAGCATAATTTGCCCCTAAGTATATTTCGTCTGCATCTTTAAAAACAAGGACACTTCTGTGTGGTGGAAGACTGTTGTCACATCTGAGAAAACTATCAGTGATTTCCTAGCATTTTTCTGCAGTAGCTGAATCAGTCTATCATTCTGCCAGCACATAAAAGCTCCACTGCTGTATCTGTTTGGTTAGGTCTGTCTTTACCTTCAGTCATCCTGGTGCATTTCTGGTGGCATAGCATGCTGGTTTAAATTTGCATTTTCCTGCACATCTTCACATATTTATTTTGAAAACCCTGTTCAAGTCTCCAGCTAATATTTCCATTGGGTGTTTCTTTTCCTTCTTGATTTGTAAGCATCCTCTCTATTTTTCCGTTGACCCTTTTGTCAGCCATGTGAATCGCAGTATTTTCTGTCACTCTGTGGCTTGCCTTTTCACCTTCTTAACGGTGTCTTTTGATGATAATTGTAAAGTAGTTTATTCTCTATGGTGAGCTTTTGTGTGTGTATCTTGTTTTAAAAAATGTTTCTCCACCGAGGGTATGAGGATTTTTCTCCTCGGTTATTTTCCAGAAGCTTTTATCATTTTGCCTCTTTCACGTTTACATTTAAATTTTTGCGCATGGTATGAAGTAGTCTCATTTCCCCCACGTGGGCGGTCGTTCATCTCAACACTCCTGATGGAAAAGACTGTCCTTTAGCCAGCGGGCCGCGCAGTAACAGCTTTGTCCTCAGTCCAGTAACCGTGTTTCTGCATCCATATAGTCTATTCTCACGACAAACCACCCTGTCTTAATTACTCTTTATAATAACTCTTCATAAGTCTTCTCCTTGTTCTTCAAGGTGTCCTGGCTATTCTTAGCCTTTTGCCTTTTCCAAATACATTTTAGAGTCAGTTTGTCAGTTTACAACATAAAGCTTTTTTGGGATTTTGATTGGTATTGGATTGATAACAACAGACTAGTATGGAGAGAACTGACATTTTTATAAAATGGAATCTTCTAACCCATGAACATGATGTATGCCTTTGTTGATTTGGGTTTCTTATTTTTCAGTAATGTTTTATAATTTTCTCCACTTGTTTTTGATGCTGTCATAAATGGTATCTTTTTTTTTCTTTCATAATTGAGATTTTATTGGTTGTTTTGAGGATCAGTACACAGACATTTTAATTTGTACACAATTCTCAACATACGTACCAAACATCTAAAATATCATGTAGATTCTTTTCTGAACAGTTATTCCAGTGACTTTCCAGATTAAAATTTGGAGGCAAATTTTCCTTCACAGGATGTCCAGTACCAATATCTTCAAATATTGACATGCTGTTACATCGTAAGTCCCACTAATTCACAATTTAATATCATATACACTACATACTCAATTTGTCAGTCGTCCACAGCACATTAACAGTTACTAGAAGAACTGGACTACCATTACCAAAGATGTTACAGAGTGCACAAAATTCTGCCCAGAGAGCCAAGATATCTTCAAATATTGACATGCTGTTACATCGTAAGTCCCACTAATTCACAATTTAATATCATATACACTACATACTCAATTTGTCAGTCGTCCACAGCACATTAACAGTTACTAGAAGAACTGGACTACCATTACCAAAGATGTTACAGAGTGCACAAAATTCTGCCCAGGAGAGCCAAGATCGAGGGGTGAGTGGTTTGCTTTAGGAAACAGTTCTACCAAAAACAACATGGGAAGAGAAGTAATTTAAAGCATTTAAGACATTAAATACACAACTGACTCCAAACTGCCATTTAGTATGCTTTGTATTATAGGATATAAAAGCTACCCCCCCATCTGTGGAATGTTAAGCTGACACCCAAGACAATCAAAACCTCCCGTATTCAATATCCCACTATTTTCTGCTTGTACCAAAAAATAAACAACCAGCAAATGATTTCACCTCTTAAAAAAAAGGCATTTACACTTAAAAAAATGGGATGAGGTGGGACTCCCTCCTTTTTTTTTTTTTTAACATCTTTATTGGAGTATAATTGCTTTACAATGGTATGTTAGTTTCAGTTCGCAACAAATTGCTTTACAATGGTATGTTAGTTTCAGCTTCGCAACAAAATGAATCAGTTATATATATACATATGTTCCCATATCGCTTCCCGATTGCGTCTCCCTCCCTCCCACCCTCCCTATCCCACCCCTCCAGGCGGTCACAAAGCACCGAGCTGATCTCCCTGTGCTATGTGGCTGAGTGGTATCTTTTGAATTCTTTTTTCTAACTGCCAGTGTTATATAGAAATAGTTCATTTTTTCATAATCACCTTGTGTCCAGAAAACAGTAAGTTTTCTCAGTGAATTTCTCACAAATTCATTTATGAATTCTGTGGCGTTTTGGGGATTTTAACAGTGCACAGTTGAACCTTATGTGCAAAGAACTGTTTTATTTCTGTTGTTTCTAATCCTAACACTTTTTATTTCTTTTTCTTGCCATCCTGCACTGGCTGGGGCCAGTTGAATAGAATGGAGATACCAGGCATCCTCATCTGGATCCTGTTCTCAATGGAAAGCTTTTAGCATTTCCCATCATGCAGTTTTGTACCAACTTTCAGATCCTAATTTACTATGAATTTTCCTCATGAATAAACTTTTTAACTTTAATGTGTTTTTGGCATATATTGAGATGGTTGTGATTTTTCTCTTTTACTTTGTTAATGTAGTAAGTGATAATGATTGACTTTTTATTGTTAACCAACTTTGCAGTCCTGGAATAAACTCAAGTGGTAGGAATGTATTATCCTTTTTATACTTTGATACTGTTTGCTAATTATTTTGTTGCCTTTTTTTTGCAAATGCAGTGTCACAGGAGTGACACTGGCTTGTACTTAAGAAACTGTGCAAGTAGTATAACAGTAATTTTACTTTCGTTTTCTGCATTTTGTCTGCAGGTTTCAAAAACGTTCAACAAACAAGTAACTCACGTTGTGTTCAAAGACGGATACCAGAGCACCTGGGCCAAAGCGCAGAAGAGAGGCGTGAAGCTTGTCTCAGTGCTTTGGGTTGAAAAGTAAGTCGTTTCTTCTGTTTTTTTACCCTTAAGTTTTCTAGTATTGGTAGAGTGTGGAGGTATTTTGCATGAATCACAGAACCAGATAAAGTTTGATTGCCATCTTTTCTCTGCCTCTTACTAGGGTCTTTTAACATCCTCAGTTTCCTGAGTCGCAAGATGGGTGTGGTATAACTCCTAGCCTGCCCAGAGGCCCTGAGAATGGGGTATGTGTGGTGTAGTCAGGAAACAATAAGGAAGCAGATTGTGTTAGTCTGCTAGGGCAGCTGTAACAAAATACCACAGACTGCAGACTTAAACGGCAGAAATTTATTTCTCACAGTTCTGGAGGCTAGGAGTCCAAGATGAAGGTGTCCACAGGGTTGGTTTTTTATGAGGCCTCCCCTTGGCTTGCTGATGGCCATCTTATTTCTGTGTCTTCACCTGGTCTGCGTGTTTCTTTGTCTTCACCTCCTCTTCTTATAAGGACACGAGTCCCACTGGGTTAGGGCCCACCCCAATGACTCATTTAACCTTCACTATCTCTTTAAAAGCCCCATTTCCAAATACAGTCACATCCTATGGTACTGGGGGGTTAGGACTTCATGTGAACTTGAGGGACACAATTGAGCCCATACAGGAGTGGTCGAGAGAAAGCTTAAGAGGAGGTTGAGGTCAGAGGTAGTGGGGTTTCAGATGATTTAAATCAAGTTCCCTGAAATCCAGATGTAAAGGAATCATACTGCTGCTTTTCTAGAAAACCAGAGTGATTTACATGAAAGCAGTGATGTAAAATATAAGGCATAGACTTTGGCTGTTGATGTGTAAAGCTGCTCTAAAAGAATAAAGGCTATTAATTTTAAAAACTTTAACAGTAAGGCATGGCCATTGGTTCCATTTCTTTATCTTCTGTGGCCTGGGCAGTTTTGAAAACTTCAGCCTCACCCTTTTGTTTAAAATGAGATGTTCTTCATTTTGGATGTGGCCTCTGCCCCATGTTGAGACTCAGCCTATGGCTTCCCACCCAGAAGGTTCCATGAGTGAGGTGTGCCTACCCAGAGACCTGCAGTGTTCATCTGCATGTTAATTTTGGTCACCTGGCAAGGTGTTTGCTGCTTTTTCCACTGTGTAATGGCTGGTGTTTCCCTTGAGACTGATAAGCTACCTGTGGGAAGGCAATTTAAGATCATGCAGACATTCTGCTCCCCCTACCCCCCAGGTGTAGCGTCGGCGATGATTCTTGCCTGAACCAACCTTACCTCTGAATCTTACGACTATTTTCCAAGTTCAGCCCTTCCTCCTGTTTCCCCCGGCTGTGCCCAGCTGTGTACTATAGTAAAGAGCGTTCTCTTCTCCCACACTGTTTGATTTACTGATTAGTGTCAACTGCCGGGTTCCTATAGTTTTCAGTGGCCTGTAGTTCATTACTGTCTGTTTGGTGCTCAGATTTTTCAGATTTGGATAGAGGGAGCCCCTTCAGCTGATTCTTGTGTCATTGTGACATGTCCCGTCTGACATCTTGTACCTGCTCTACCCCAGCCTTGGCGTCAGCCATTTCTCCAAAGACCGTGATTCCTTTGAGTGGGGAATAGTATCAGAGACTAAGATGTGGTGCTGGTGGGCTCGCGGCCATGGAGTATCACTGCTTCGTGGTCTTTCGAGCAAAGGCAGGAAATACATTTGTTCCTTTCTTCCCTTTTCCTTCCCTACTTTGGATTATTTGATCTGTTAGTTTTTAAACTAAAACTCTTTCCATTCTCTTTTTTATTTTTAGTGATTGCTTTAGGGATTACAAAATAGATCCTTAACTTCTGAGTCTACTTAGACTTAATATTGTACCACTTCATATAAAATATAGAAACCTGGTAATTGTGTCCATTGCTTCTGCCCTGCCATCCTTTATGTCACTGTTGTCATATGTATTACATCTATATGCATTATAAGCTCACAGGACAGTGTTGTCATTGTGCTTTCAACAGTTGTCTGTATTTTAAGTAAACTAAGAGAAACAATTGTCTCATATTTATCTGTATATTTATTCTTGCTCTTCATTTCTGAGGATCTGAGTTTCCTCTGGTCTTATTTCCTTTCAGTGTGAATTATTATGTTTGGTATTTCTTCTTTTTTTTAATTAAGATAAAGTCCACATACCATAAAACTCACCCTTTGAGTGTATAGTTCAGTGGTTTTTAATATATTCTGTTCACAAAGATTTGTAGCAGTTACCACTGCCTAATTCAGGAACATTTGTGTCACTCCAAAATAAGCTCCATAGCCATTAGCAGTCACTCCCCATTGTCCCCTTAGCCCCACCCCCTGGCAACCACTAATCTACGCTTTGTCTCTCTGAATTTGCTTATTCTGGACATTTCATGTAAATGTAATCTTACAATGTGTGGCTTTTTATGTTCAGCTTCTTTCACTTGGCATATGTTTTAGAGGTTCATTCGTGTTGTAGCCTGTGTCAGTACTTTATTCCTTTGAGTGCCTGCATTATAAGGATGTAGCATGTTTTGCTTATCTTCAGCAGGTGGACCTTTGGGTTATTTGCACTTTTTAGCTATTAAGAGTAATGCTGCTATGAACATTTGTGTACAAGTTTTTGTGTGAATATATACTTTCAATCCTCTTGGATATACATGCACCTAGGAATGAAATTGATGAGTCGCATGGACACTGCTTGTTGAGCTTTTTGAGGAACTGCCAAACTACTTTTTGGATTGGATGCATCATTTTACATTCCCACCAGTAGTGTCTGAGGGTTTTTATCCCTCTTTCATGTTTACAGGCATTGTTGTGAATGTGAAGTGTGGTATCTCACTGTAGTTTTGAATTGTATTTCCTTAATGAGCAGAGATGTTGAGCCGCTTCTCGTGGTTTTACTGGCTTTTTGTATCTCTGGAGAAATGTCTATTCAAATACTTCGTCCATGTTTTTTTAATTGGGTTGTTTTTCTTGTTGAGTTGTGAGAGCTCTTTATCCTGGATATAATACCCTTATCAGATACAATATTTACAAACATTTTCTCCCTTTCTGTGGGTTATTTTTTCACTTTCTTGTTGATATCCTTGGAAGCATAGAAGTTTTTAAATTTTTCTTAAATCCACTGTGTCTGTTTTTTTCTTTTGTTGCTTGTGTTTTAAATGTCACATCTTAGAAATCATTGCCTAATCCCAGGATGTAAAGATGTACACCTATGCTTTCTTCTAAGTTTTATAGTTTTATCCTTACATTTAGGTCTGCAGTTATACTTGAGTTAATTTTTGCACATGGTGTGAGGTAAGGCTTCACTGAACTTCACTGTTTTGCATGTGGTTGTCCAGTTTTCCCAGCACTGTTTGTTGAATAGACTGTTCTTTCCCCATTCAGTTGTCTTGGTACCCTTGCTGAAAATTAATTGACCATAGGTACGTGGGTTTATATCTGGATTCTCAATTCTGTTTCATTGATCTGTGTGTATCTTTATGCCAGCACCACAGTCTTGATTCCTGTAGCTTTACAGTAAGTTTTGAAGTTGGGAAGTGTGGCTCCTCCAATTTTGATTTTTCAAGATTGGTTGCCTCTTCCAATTCCCTTGCATTTCTGTATGAATTTTAGGATTAGCTTCAACTTCAGGGAGAAGAAAAGGACAACTAATATTTGATAGAGATTGCATTGAGTCTTTAATTAGGTAGGTGTTGCCGTCTTAACAGTATTTAATCTTGCAATCCATGGCCATTGGATGTGTTTTCATTTTTTTGGCTGTCTAATATCTTTCAGTCATGCCTTGTAGTTTTCAGGGTGCAAACCTTACACCTCTTAGGTTAAATTTATTCATAATTTTTTTCTTTTTGATGCTATTATAAATGGAATTGTTTCATCGTTTAGTTGTTAAAATATAGAAATGTAACTGACTTTTGTATGTTGATCTTGTATTCTGCAAGCTTTCTGAACTTGTTTATTAGCTCAGAGTGTTTTTGTGACGTCCTTGGGATTTTCTGTATACAGTGTTGTGTAATCTGTATATAGAGATAGCTTTACTTCTTCCTTTCCGATCTGGATGCCGTATATTTCCTTTTCTTTTCTAATTGCCCTGACCCTAATCTCCAGCACGATGTTGGATAGAAGTGGTGAGAGTAACCATCCTTGTCTTGCTCCCAGTCTTCGGAGAAAAGCTTTCTGTGTTTCTCTATTAAGTGAGATGTTAACTTTGGATTTTTTTTTTTTATAGATGCCCTTTGTCAGGTTGAGGAAGGTTCCTTCTATTCCTAGGTTTTTTTTGTTTGTTTCGGTTTGTTTGTTTATCATTAAAGGATGTTGGATTTTGTCAAATTCTTTTTCTGCAATTATTGAAATATTCGTGTGGGGTTTTTTTCATTCATTCCATTAATGTGTATTAGATTGATTGATTTTATATGGTGAACCAATCTTGCATTCCTTGGATAAATCCTGCTTGGTTATGTTGTATACGTTTGTTTTTAATTGCTGGATCAATTTGCTAGTACTTTTATTTTTGCATCTGTATTCATAGGGATATTGGTCAATACTTGTGATGACTTTTTCTGGTTTTGGTGTCAGGCAGTATTGGCATCATAGAATGAGTTGGGATGTGTTCTTCTGTCTTTTGAAGTTTGTAAGAATTGATGTTAATTCTTCAGGCATTTGGTAGAACTTCAGTGAAGCCATCAGGGCCTGGGCTTGTTTTTGTGGGAAGGTTATTGATTACTAATTTCAGTCTCTTGTTATAGGTTTATTCACATTTTCTATTTCTTGAGTCAGTTTGAGTAGTTTGTGTCTTTCTAGGATGTGTTCACTTCTTCTAGGTTGTCTAATTTGTTGGCATGTATTCGTTTGTAGTATTCTGTAATAATCCTTTTTATTTTGATAAGGTCAGTAGTGACCTTAAAAAAAAAACCAAAATCATTCTTTTTTTTTTTTTTTTTCCTCTCCCGTTGTGGAGCACAGGCTCCGGACGCGCAGGCTCAGCGGCCATGGCTCACGGGCCCAGCCGCTCCGCGGCATGTGGGATCTTCCCAGAGCGG